AGAGAGAGAGAGAGAGAGAGAGAGAGAGAGAGAGAGAGAGAGAGAGAGGAATAGGGGAAGAGGGGAAGGGGGGGTTGAGGTTGTGAAAGGCAGTGTGATAGGCAAAAGGGGGTGATGAGATGAGAAAGGAAATGCGTTTCCGTGGGTGCGGTAGCCGGTATGACTTCTAGTAGAACATGGAGGCACGGTGGAGGCGGGGAGAAAAAGACTGCAAACGAAAGAAATCAAAGGTAATGTAAGAAAGAGCATCCTCACAATAGAGATTTTCCTAGATGCATCTGACCGCAATTACAGCCGGACCTGGATGTATCTGACCGCGATTCCGTCAAGAAATCCGACATGCAAGTCTGTAGTGTAAGTATGGCCGAAGCAATTGGATGAGCATTGGGAAATCCGTTAAGAACGCCGCTATGTTAAGGAAATCCGTTAAGAAATCCTCCGTTAAGGAAATCCGGTAAGGAAATCCTCCGTTAAGAAATCCGTTAAGAAATCCTCCGTTAAGAAATCCGTTAAGAAATCCTCCGTTAATAAATCCGTTAAGAAATCCTCTGTTAAGAAATCCGTTAAGAAATCCTCCGTTAAGAAATCCCCCGTTAAGGAAATCCTCCGTTAAGGAAATCCGTTAAGGAAATCGGCATGTTAGTACACAAGATGAGAGAGAAAGTATGGCCAAAAAAAAAAAGAAAAAAAAAAGGAGGATTAGATGAAGAGTGTCCTGATTTGAAAATAGAAGTGCGTGGTAAGAAAACGAAAAAGAAAAAAGAAATAGAAGCACATGCTAAAGAAAATTTGACGACTGAAAAAAAAAAAAAAAAGACTGCAAAAGGAAAGAAGAAAGGCAAGCCAAAAAAACAGAGAGAGAGAAATCTGGTGGCTGAATGGCACACAAATGTAATTGTTTGTTCATAAGCAGATCAAGCGAGATACAAAATAAAGAGCGAAAAGCTCATAGATAGATGTAAATAGGGGTTGTTTTGAAATAGCGGCTCTGCTTTCCCAAAGCAAATGGAACGCAAATGTAACACGTGTACGTCTTCTTGTCGTTTCTCAATCAGTGACAGAAATTAGTCCTGCCTGTTGAATCATGAGTATGCGGCAGAGAAGTTAACGGCAGGCGGTCGTTATGTGTGTGCGTGTGTGTGCGCGCCTGCGCGCGCGCGCGAGAGAGAGAGAGAGAAAGATTTGACGCGGAGTTGAAAATGTACCGCAGGAAGAGAATGTACGCGAGTGTGTGTGTGTGTGTGTGTGTGTGTGAGAGAGAGAGAGAGAGAGAGAGAGAGAGAGAGAGAGAGAGAGAGANTGTGTGTGTGTGTGTGTGTGTGAGAGAGAGAGAGAGAGAGAGAGAGAGAGAGAGAGAGAGAGAGAGAGAGATGGTGCGGGGTTGAAAATTTACCGCGGGAAGTAAATGTACGTGATTGGTGTCTGTGTGGCAGTCGTGGCCATCTCATATCCGACTAACACGCGCCAGATCTGTCATCAACACTCATCAAAACTGATATCTTGATTAGGGTCCTTAGTTTATCGTGGCAATATGGAATCCAAATTGCCGCCATCAATTTTTTTAAGGACCCCAATCAATCAAGATATGGATCCTTAACTGGCTTGTTACCCCCAGATATGGATTGAGGCAACCCGGGCAGCCCGGCTGCACGAGTGGTTACCCAGATCCCCTTAACAGGCTTGTTACCCAGTGAGGCAACCCGGGCAGCCCGGCTGGTTACCTAGATAAGGATCCTTAGGTGGCTCTTTTTTTTTTTTTTTTTTTTTTTAAAGGTTAATGGACACACTGGGTTCAGCAAAGAGGGCTGCAAAAAAAAAAGGAAAAAAAAAAGAAAAAAGAAAAGGGGGCTGCAGGGGGGGTGCGCACGGTGGGCTTTATGCGGCTGTGACAGACTACCTTCTTCCCATGAATAGAACGCCTGATCAATTTCGCTGTATTTAGACTGACAGGTTGGCCAAATACAGGGATAATGACCGGGCGTTCTATTCGGTGGAAGAATGTAGGTAGTTTTCCTCGGACTACTTTACTCCCATCCCTGCCAATCTGAGGAAAAAAAACTACCTACCTTCTTCCCCCGAATACAACGTACGGTCATTATATCTGTATCTAGACTGAAAGATTCCCCAAATACGGCTATAACGACCGTACGTTGTATTCGGGGGAAGAAGGTAGTTGCTCACAGCCATAAGAGTTTGGTAGCTGTATTTGGAGCAACTTTCAGTCCAGATACATCAGTAAGTTCGATACCCACAGTTGCAGGAATGGCTGTAAGACTGTGGGTTCTTAGACATTTCGATTCTTAGAAATGCTCGTCTTCGCCCGAATAGAACGTGCGGTTCTTATTGCTGTATCTAGACGGAAAGTTGCTCCAAATTCAGCTATAGACAGTGGGTTCGCAGATAATACTGCCATTCTTTGACACGACCACCTTTCCTCGAATAGAACATGCCGTTCTTATTGCTGTACCTAGACTGAACGTTGCTCCAAATACAGTTATAGACTGTGGGTTCTCAGACTTTCTGCCATTCTTAGACACGACCCGTCTTCCCCCGAATACAACGTACGGTTCTTATTGCTGTATCTAGACTGAAAGTTGCTCAAATACAGCTATAATGACCCTGCCTCCCCCCCCAATCGAACATGAGGTTCTTATTGCTGTACCTAGACTGAAAGTTGCTCCAAATACAGTTATAGACTGTGGGTTCTCAGACTTACTTGCCATTCTTAGACACGACCCGTCATCCCCCGAATACAACGTACGATACTCATTGCTGTATCTAGACTGAAAGTTGCTCCAAATACAGCTATAATGACACTACGTTCTATTAGGGAGAAGACGGGAGTGGCAACTGCCATTCTTTTTTTCTTTCTTTTTTAATAAACACACTGCCATTCTTGTCCGCGGGGCTTAGAACCCTGAAAAAAAGAAAAAAAAGACAAAAAGAAAAAAAGGAAAAAAAAAAAAAGCCAAAAAAAAAGGAACCCTGCAATCCTGCTGGGCGGGAATGGCAGCAAGTCTGAGATTTGTCGCCAGCCCTGAAAAATAACATAAAATAAAATTCTGCAGGGCTGCTGTGAGTACAGCCAACGACTTTTGTTAGGGGTATTGCAATCAGACTCGACTCATTCACACTTCTCATGCACGTGAACAGCAGCACAGCAAACTGGCGACATGCGCCCACTCAATACTCAGAGATATGGCTTCCAGGTAAGAGTTCACTTCCACTGTTTATGGCGACTCGGCGCCCAACAACTCGCTGTTCACACACTCTGGATCACCCTGGATATCCCACACGCGACACTCTGAACACTCACACAACACTTCGCCCTAAGCTACAGCTATGGCAGCACTAGCTGCCACTACCCTAGCGCTATGGCTACACTTCGTCACTCTTGCCCACTTCGACTTCGGGCCTGCTGCAGACCTCCTCGCACAAGACGCTGAGACAGCGCTTCCGCATGGCTTCCGCAGGAATGAATGAATGGCTCTGCGCGGCCGCTTGATTTATACTTCTATGACTCGTTGGTCTGCCCTGCTTCCCTGGCCCACGGTGTACACAGTCCCAGACGGTACTTGCTTGACTGGACTGGGACTGCTGACTCTGCATGGTGGACTTCCACCACTTGCCCACTTGCCTCGACCTACAGTGGGCTGACTTCCGAAAGGCCACTTCTAGAAACCTCTACTTGGCCTTTCGGTACTGTAGCAGCTACGACCCTGCCCTTTCAGGTAAGTAGCAGCTACGACTTTGACCCTTCGGGAAGTCTACAGCTAAGACCTCGGGACTGTCTAGACTCCTACCCGACAGGTCTACAGTTCGAATCCCCTATGCCCTGTAACCTACGACGACCTACCTACCACTGGCAGTCCTACAGGTCGCGGGTTCAACTCTACGGGTTGACACAGGTACTGTACACAAGGAATGTGGGGACTAGGGAACGAGCCCTGGGATCTGCATCAGCTACTGCGAACTGGTGAATACCGTTTCACTCCCGCCGGCCTAAATTCGAGGTCCTCCGAGAATATTTCAGTCCAAGGCAGGACCTTTACCCTTCTTCTCCCTCTCGTAGGCTCGGACTATGTCGGGAGCTGTCTCTAGAAGTTCAGTTCTGGTGAAACACCGGTCGTCTTCTGGTTTCTGATATGCAAATCTGACTTTATACTACTTTTGAGGACGACCTCGACCTCCTGTTTTAAACACGTCTTCGTCTACAATGCCGTCAATGTCGTACCTTCCATCCATGTCGGGGGGAATCATGGAACGTCTAGATGGAAATTGATCGCTTACTGTGCATGGCAACAACTTTGATGCATGGAAGACTGGGTAGGTGTGGAGGTGTAGTGGAAGCTCTATCGAGTAGGACGGACCATCTTCTCCGCCCTTGACTTCTAGCACTGGCCACGGTCCTCTATACGCGGGCAGTATCTTTTGCGAGATGTTCTCCTCAGGAGCAAATTCTGTAGCTTTGACCCAGACTAAGTCGCCTACTTGGAACTGTGATGGGCGACGATGTTTGTTGGCTTGCTCTATCATCCTGTGTTGGGCCTTCCTGAGGTTCTCTACAACGGTAGCTAGTTCTTTCTCGTGCTGTATAGCAAACTCCCTAGTACCGGGCGGTAGCCTATGAATCTGATCCCGGTTAAGTCCTTCAAACGGTCTGCGCGGCCTAAAGGACATGTGCAGTTCGTTGGGAGTGCGTCACGTAGACAGGTGCACACTATTGTTGTAAGCACTGGCTACCTTGGGCAGCATCTCATCCCAGTCAACTTGATCTGGTCTAATGTACATCCTCAGAACTTGCTGCAGGATCTTATTGATCTGCTCAGTCTGACCGTTGGTTTCTGGATGACGGCCAGATGACATTAGCAACTTAGAGCCATAGACTCTCATCAACTCCTGCCAGTTCTGACTTGTGAACCGGGTGTCTCTATCACTAACTATGGACAATGGGACCCCGTGCTCACTGACCTAATGATCGAAAAACTTACGGATCACTAACTCGGTCCGTGCCTCTGAAGGCAAGGGGACAAAAATAACATTCTTACTGAACCTATCGACTATCACCATGACTTGGTTCTTGCCATGTCTACTCTTGACGCCCAAGTCCATGAAGTCGATGGACACCGAATCTCCGGGCTGATCAGGAATAGGTAAGGGTCTGAGCAGACCTAGCGGGGCGCGCGTAGTAGTCTTATTCCGCTGGCAAACTTTACAACTCCGAACATACTCTATACAATCGTTCTTCATTCCTGGCCAGGTGTACGCGTGCATTAGATTGGCTAAAGTCTTTTGCCAACCGAAATGACCCTCTGTGTCGCGACATTCTCCTAAGATCAGACTACGGATCTCTTCGCTATTGGGAATGCACAATTGGTCAAATACGTTAGTCTTCTCAAAGAGCAACCCCTCAGTAGTGCGGTAATCTGGTTCGGTCTCTGGGGCCTCCGTTACTCTCTTGAGGAGGTCACTATAGATAGGGGTCCTGCGCATAAGCTTCTTTAACCTTTTGCTGCAGGTCTCTTCCTATGTCCAGATAATGAACTATCGCTCCAAAATAGTCAGCTCTCCTACTCAGAGCGTCCGCAACTACGTTATATTTCCCTTTGACTGGCTTGAGCTCGAAATCATACTGATCTATCTCTGCGGCCCACCTAGTCAGCTTAGGTGTCATCTTGGCCTTTGTCTTCAACCATCTTAATGTCTCATGGTCAGATTAGACTTTGAAGTGCCTCCCAAGCAAGTAGTGCTTCCAGTGTTCCAGCGCTTGCCTGAGAACGTAGAGTTCCCTCTCATACGTAGATGTCGCAACCTTCTCTGAAGGCATCCTAGCAGACATGAACTCTACGGGCCTATAACCATTGCCATCGTCTTGCTGCAACACAACACCGATGCCGTACTGACTAGCGTCCGTAGTGACGACAAAGGGTAAGGACGGATCGGCCACCTTAAGGACTGGATACTCTATCAGTGCCTGCTTCAACTTCTTCATAGCAGAGGTGCAGTCCTTGTTCCACTTCCAGATGGTCTCTTTCCTGAGCAGTCAGCGAAGGGGTGCCGCGATGGTGGAGAAGTTCCTTACGAACTTCCTATAGTAGTTTGCTAGGCCTAAGAACGACCGCAACTCTGTCAACGTACGCGGTGTAGGCCAATCCCTGATCGATGCAATCTTACTATCTTCTGGTTTGATGCCGTCTCCGTCTAAGATGTGGCCTAAGTACAAAACTTGGGTCTTTGCCCATTCACACTTCTTTGCGTTGATCTTGAAGTTAGCTTCTCTCAGCTTCTCCAAGACCTGCCTGAGATGACCCTGATGCTCTTCGAGGGTCTTACTAAACACTAAGATATCATCCAAATACACTACAACAAACCTATCTAACCAAGGCCTAAACAGGTCATTCATACACCGCTGGAAAGTCGCTGGCGCGTTGGTTAGTCCAAAGGGCATCACGATGAACTCGTAGTGCCCGTATCTAGTCCCAAGGGCTGTCTTGTACTGATCATCAGGATGAACCTCTATCTGATGATATCCGGACTTTAAATCTATCTTTGTGAAATACCTGCACCCCTGCACTCGATCCAAAAGATCGTCTATTCTAGGCAGTGGCTCAACATTCTTAACTGTGATAGTATTCAGACCCCTATAGTCTATGCACATCCTCCCTCTTTCTTGGGAACGAACAGAAGAGGTGCCCCGAATGGGGACGAACTGGGCCGTATCCAACCTTTCTCGAGGAACTCGTCTAATTGCTTGCGCAACTCCTCTAACTCCCGCGGAGACATCCTATACACGGCTCCTTTGGGGGTCCTTCTGCCAGGCTCAATCTCAATGCGGTGCTGGATAGGCCGCGGTACTACTCCGGTCGGCGGCTCAGCTAGATCTTTAAACTCCTCCAGCAGCTTGGCAATAGCAGGGTCTATAGGCTTCTCTTCCTTAGCCTCAGTCACTGGCCTAACATAGGTTACAAAAACCTGTTCCTCTAGCTGTTCCTTTTTCACTAACCTTGTGAACGCAGGAGCACTAAGGCAGCAATGTGCCAGGGAGTTATCTACTCCTGACACATGAAACAGACGGGCAGTCTTAACACCACCTGACGGGCTAGGGAGCCTACACTCGTGCTCCCTCAAATGGAGTGTGGCCCCTGCTGCCTCTCCCCAGTCCATACCTAGGACTATATCAAACGGGAGGCTATCCTCTACGAGGAGAGTCAGGGAATGGAGGACCTTCTCCACCTTCCCATCCTGTTCTAGGCGGAAATACGCCTGGACTCCCTCTACGTACTCCTCCACTCGCATGGTGCGATTGTCCGCGAGGATACTTACGATGGGGTCTGCCAATCTTTGGACTTTCAACTGCAACTTCAACTTCTGCAGCGCCTTCCTACTGATATAACTACGAGTGGCTCCACTATCCACTAAGGCGCCTGCTTGTCCTCTAAAAATCTCTGTGTCTACTAATATAGGCTGCCCCTTATTCTTCTTTTTCATCTTGGCCCAGGCGGGCATCCTCTCCTTCAATTCCTCAGCCACGCCTGTGAGGGAGGTGTCTAGAGAGACTCTAACACAAGCAGTCTCTGGACAGCCATCTAGACACCGGCCTGCAACCTTTGCCATAGGCACATATGGTGTGGGAGTTTCCTACCGGCTAGCGCTATTTTCCCCACATGGCCTTATGGTAGGGGCAGTTGCTACCCCTACCGGCGGCTGCCTTTTGGCCCTTGAGCAGCCGATCGGGTCTCTCTATACTTCGGGCAATATTTAATGATGTGGCCCGGGTCACCGCAGTAGATGCACTGGCCCCGGTCCACACGCTATTGCCATAAGCGCTGGTCCAGACCCAAGTCTTCCCAAGGTCTGCCCTGTGGGCTCTGGGTGCCAACCACTTCTCCTATATGGGGACCTATTCCCAAACCGGTTTTGCGGGGGACCTTGACCCCTTCCTCCCGCTTGGCGGTTTCCTCCTCTGCCGCCAACCCCCTGATCGCCCTGAGATTGGCCCCCTGAGGCCCGGCCCCCTTGGCCCTGGCCTCATCCTCCTCCTTGCGGCCTCCCTCCAGCCGCGACAGCAGCATAAGTTCTGCCCTGACTTACCCCACTGTCCTCATCCTCTAATCCCCACTCGATCTGTTCGTAGGGGATCTCGTCCACACTACCCTCATCCAAGGTGAGGACAAGGCTATCCTTAGTCTTTACTTGCCCTGAGATAGTGTGGCCCTTCCACTTTTTACCTTTATCCAGGTCCTTGTGCGAGAAGGTGGATACTGACGCGGACTTTGCTTCAAAGGCCACCACTTCCCTGCTGAGTGCGTCGTACGTCATAGCAGGATCTTGACTCTTCGCAAAGAAGTGGCCTCGCAGAGATTCGGGCATAGCCCTATAGAAGAGGTTGACCAACTGGGTCTCTGTGACCCCGTGGTTAGGAACAACCACCCATGCATCCATAACTCCCTTGAGCGCCCTGGCGCTCTTCCACTGGCGAGAATGGATAGTCTGAAGCCTATCATCAGCAAATCGCTCGCGCAACAACTTCATGAAATCGACGAGGGGGGTGAATGAAGAGTAGGCAACTGCATCATCGTTGCAGTTGGTAGAGCGGACTAGGGACCTCGCGAAACTGGCAGCCTCATCTCCAAGCGCATGAATGGCTATCAACACGTGCTGATCTGGGGAGACCTGCTGCAAGTGCACATAGGCCTTCACGGCCTCCCAATTGTCAAAGTTCTCTTCCCTCTTTCCACTGTAGGAATCGGGGAACTTAACTTTGACTGGCTCCCTGCGAGGACGTGCCTCTTCCTCCTTGGGAGCTGTCAGCTTGACGCCCTCTATGGCGCCAACGCAGAATCGTTCTGTCTTCTCGAGGCGGTGGTTCACCTCGGCCCCTACTGCGCCTACCAGTTCGTGGGCAAAATCCCGAAATCCCATCCGCATTGAGCGCACAGCCATATCCTGACTCCTACTAAACTCGTATTGTTCTCCCTATACCCGGGCTAAGCGCTCAACACTTTGGGCAATGATCTCCACCTTTCGTTGGAGATCCACCTGGGCGGCCATCTGTTCTCTCAAGTTCTTTACTTGCTCTAGTCCCTGGCCGCCTCACTCGCTGCATCCACTCTCCTCTTCTTTTCCCTCATCATCCTGAGCCTCCACTCCATCTTTTTCTCATCCTCCATCGCTTGCCGCTTCAGGGAATCTTCCTTTGCATCCCATTCTTTCATGGCGGCCTCCTGCTCATCCTTGGGGATATACATGGCAACCTCCTCCTCTTCTCCCAAAGACAAGTTAGCAACCCACTCTGAGATCGTTTTTTCCATTTCGTCATTTTTGCTCCCACTGTACTGCCCTCGTTGCTCTCTCCTCCTTTCCAACGGCTGTTCATCTTCCTCCTCCTCTTCTACTTCCTTCAATTTTGCCGCCTCCTCTTTCTTCAATCTTTCTTTTTCTCTGGCCATCTCCTCCTCAATCTTCTTCAGCTTCGCCGCCTGTTCCTCCATCAAGGCTTTTTTCTTGGCCTCTTTCTTCTCTTTCCTCTCCTTCAATATGGCGGCCATCTTCTCCTCCTCTTCCTTCGTATAGGGGTTAGTCGAGACCTCGGTCCTGGTGTCTACCCTACACGTGAACGTGTGCCAGAACCCCAGGGGAAAGAGGAGATGCCAGAGGGTCCCCTAGAGGGAGAACCCCACAAGTAACGCATACATCGGGTAATCGTCCATGGTGATAGGTGCACGACAGGACAGTCCCACTCCTCACCACTTAGACCAACCTGCAGACTCACTGACAGACTCTCTAAGGACCACAGGGTAGAACCCTGTCAGCTATGGTCTCTAACCTAGACCTACTCTAAGGCTGTCACTACTGAACCAGTGGCTGATCTGGAGGCATTTGAGGAGATCCCTCGTAACTCCTCAAGAATTTTTTAACGTCGCAGACAGGACGACGTGATCAGCTTGGTTCTGCCTGTGCTTTCAGCCCACAACGCAGCCTTTCCGGCCTACTGTGCCACATCGAGCAGCCCGCCGGTCTGTACCGGTCCTTGGGAGGGTTCGTATCCCCCGGGACAGTCAAGTCGTCAGACACAGATCCTCAGCCTTACTTGGTCCGGTAGGGGAGTGGTTCAAACAGGCCCTCAACACTTAAAGACTGCCTGGTGTGTCAGCCCCAACCCAGTCTTTCAGGCCCACTGTTCCATACCAACCGTGTCCAGCCGGTCAGCACCGGTCCTTGGGAGGGTTATGCCCCCCTGGACAGTTGGATCTTTCACAGCCTCAGCCCTACTAGATCCGATAGGGGTTTCGTCATCCAGGCCTATCCTTCATGCACA